AGGTTCCAATTAACGCTGCCATTAATAGCTCCGTATCTGAGCGGTGACGACTTCAGCTGACGATTAATCGATAACCGTCGATTAAATATCTGGATCGGGAACGAAGAACGGAGAGCGAGAGAAGGGGCTCTTGCTGTTCCTTTTCGAAAATATCTTTGTGCTCTAACACTGCGCGCTATAATTATCAATTCTGTTTGATCTATGTAATCCTTCTCAAACACTGGAACAAGACTCGTTTGTTTTCCTCGCAATTTCTCTCTTTCGCTCTTTTTACGGAAACGGGAGAGAACTTAATGGAGCGTACCAGAGATTAATTAGCGATCGATAATTACATCGCCGCGGAATTGAGCGGTGATGACTCGAGCAGATAATTGACCGTTCGTTACAGTAATTAATTCCGTAAGTGTGTCGCGATTATCGCGTGTGCTCGAAAAGGACTCCGGGCCCTTTTGTGCGCGCGAGAGTGTCGGTGTCCTGTCGAGGACCAGAGGAGATGTGAATACGGCGGTAAAGTGCAAAGTGATGTAATTGGTACATCCGCCGCGAAGGAGCGATGTGTGATGCCAGCCCAGCCCGAATGACACTTAGCCCACGCAGCTGATGACAAACGTAAACAGGATCAAGGTGGTCGTCCTCGGCGGCCCCAGAGTCGGCAAATCAGGTGAATCTTCTTTTCTGTCTTTTGATTTTGCTTCATTGTCGTGTAAGGGGATATAACTCTCATTTATTTTCGTTATCTCTATTATCAGCGCCTCGAAATTCCAACAAAGAAATCATGATTAATTGAATTCATCGATAATCTCCGTGTTAATTTTGTGAAATTTTTTTGCTTGAGATTGCAAGAAATTTATATAATCAAATCGTGCAATGTTACTTCGTCATTATGATTTAATGATAAGAGGAAGGTTTCGCGCGTTGATTTTGCACGGAATTGAACCGAATCTCGGACAGCGAAGAATAAATCTACGGAACCAATATATTGATTTCCTCAGAATACGAGAACATGCTGTGATTGATGTCGCGTCGAAACCGATATCCATTCGCGAATAAATATACGACGGCGAAAAGAGATGCGCAGGTCGATTATGGCGCAACGTCGTGAAATATTGAATCATGTCGGAAGGACGTTGATTATGGAGGACGATACTAATACCGCGTCGTCGTGCAGCGTGTAATTTCTGCGCGGCGTTGTCTAATAGCGCACCGACGCAACGCATTGAATGAAAGTGCCGTTAAGATGAATACGCATAGTCCGCGGAATAATACGTTGCATTAGTTAACTCGACAGTCGCGCGACGCATACAAAGCGAGCAAACGAACGGCGATAAGGCGAGGTTCGCCGACCTCGAATAAATCCTATTAATATAACCGCTAGGACCGGTCACCTTAATAAAGGCGCGCTCTTCGTTTTATTCTGATCTCGTCCATGTGATTCTCCTTCTTCCTCTGCTCACCAATTTTGCATCACGTTGCTTCACATTGTTAAGTCACCGGAATGAACCAATCACCCACGAACCATCGCGTCGTTGAGTCGCCATTATTTTCGAAATTGCATCTTTCTCACATTATCGATTATATCCTTCTAAGATGCTAGATCTAGTAATGTCGGATTTCTCTGAAAATCTTCGATCATGAGATTTTTGGATCTTTAAATAAAGAGCTGCGTTGCTCGATCGCGTCCACATTCTCGGAATGTTACGGACTGGCATTGTTCCAAGTCGGGATTTATTGCATTTTTTTGTGCGTGATCATATTTAATTGTGATTAGCTTCTGCATTCGCGCGTTTCGCTGCCACGTACGATCGCGATTGCGGTAAAACGCGCGACAATGTCGTCTGTTCCACTTTTTGCGATGAAAACGGTGCATTCTCACGCGGCGGCAGCGGCGATGGGAAAGAGGGATATCTCGACGGGAGCGAATCCCTAAAAGTCCCTCGTGGGACCCCGCTGGGTATAATAAGGACCTCCGTGCACGTTATCGGATATCATTCTACGTGCGCGAGGGGGGAAAGGGAAGTCGCTGCGCGCCACGAAAATTCCCGCACGGTTGCAGCGGCGGCAGGTTGTAAGATCTGGACATCCGATACATCCGTCTTGTTGCCCGCGGTGTTCGATTCTGGATACCGAATTTATACGCGGTAACATTTCTTCCCTCGCATTATCGCACCTCCGCCCGACGTACGCGGTGATCTCGAAAGAACATCGTGTACACGCAAAATAACGTAACCGCAACTCTTTCACGATAAAGGAAACGAAGATCTTGCTTGGAAACTCTTGGAATTTGAATTTGAATTTCGGTACTAATTGTGTAATAGAAACTTGATTTTTTTCGCAAAAATATCAGTAGCGTGTATATAGTATTTGAATCGGATATTTTTGCGAATAAATTGGAGCTTTCTTCAACGAGAAGTAAATTTCGCAAAAACTGCTGACAGTGAGGAATCATGAAAAGAATTATGGTCACGCGAGAAACGTGAGATTGTTATCTACAGCCATTTATCTGCATTAACGCTTATTGAAGAGGCAATTGGAGGTCCGCTACTCAAGCCGAGACGTGTTCATAAATTCATTTGGTCTAAACGACTTGCTTTATTGCCGTGTCACAAGAAAAGCGGACAGAATAGTAGCTCGTGGAAGCCGCGCTTCAACGAGTTTCTTTTCTGCAGGATCAATCTGAGGCTTTTATTACCTTTTTGATGTTTTAAATATAGAACACTTTCTACATTACATGATTAAGTTGCGATTTAATATTTTATTTTTTAGAAAAATTACATTTTCCGTTATTTTGAGGTCTTGACAAGACAAATGTTTTTCAGCCAATAACACATTATTCTTCTTTTCTTTCTTGACATGATAAATAAAACTCGTTTTTTAAATAATTATATGTTGTACACAATTCTTATTGCTCAATCAGTGACAACTCAAAAAAATTATGTGTCGAAAATTCGATCTGCGGTAAGAGATATAAAGTTAACAGGTCAAGATGACAATGAGTGAAATTTGTTCCAATAAAAGATTGTGTTGAATTTTTGGGGTGAAGAGAAAATTTCGACAATGCAAGAGGATGCGTTTGGTTGATCACGTGCCTTACCATCCTTTTTGTCTTCTCATCCCCCGTTCTTTTCTCTCTCTCTCTCTCTCTCTCTCTCTCTCTCTCTCTCTCTCGTTCTTCTCACTCTTTCTGTGTCCCCTCCTATCCACAGCGATCGTGGCCGTAATTACTATTTTCTTACGTCCACCAAGCGGCTTATCCACCAACGATCTATCTATAGAACCCTGCGCTGGCATCGCACGTCGGCGAATGGCACCGCGAATGGCTGCGTTTTGCTCGTACCGTTGCATCTTCCACATTACACACAATTCTCCCCAGGTGACTTAATCGGCTTCTTTTTTATTCTTCTTCTTTGTTCTCTTCTTCCTGTTTCGTTCTTCTCTCCTCCCCGTTTTCTCTCTCTCCCTTTTTCTTTTTTATTTTGTACGTGGTCACTTGCGTTATCGGTCGAAAGACCTATATTATTTTATTTTGGAGATTTTGACTAACACGTTTTAAAATTTTGTCATTTAATAGGAGGGGAGGGAGAGATTATTCTTTCTCAAGGATATTATCTACAGCAACATCTCACATTCTGCGTAAGTCATCGGTTATTTCTTCATAAGTACAACCCGTCTCGGGCCCGCTATATTGTCATCGTTCACCCGAGTTGACCCTACGAAAGATAAGCATTTTATAAACACATTGTATCTGGCACGAGTATCGGGTTTCCCTCGCGTTTGGACTTGAGCGCGGATGCAGGAGAACGTGCTTTCATTAGACCCGGGCGCTTGGCACAGATTACTGTGTTGGGGCTATTAGGCATTACGAGCAACATTCTCGTGTCCACATCAATTACTCCGGTTCGCGCGGCCTGTATAGGATTACGCGCGACGTTGCCTCAATTTGATGACAGTCATTTCCAAGAGAGAATGTGTCTTCACTCGATTACCGAGTCACTTGGCACGGTGATGATCCGGATGTCTTTGCATGGTCCGTTGAAAATACAGAAGTTTCTTATTTTTAATTTGTCGCAAATGTGCAAGATACTTAATTATAGCAGCGTGATTTTTGATTTTTCATTGTACTGATAATTTTATCGTACTAACTTAGTGTTTATGTGCGAAATATAACAAAATAAGAAGTAGAGATACTTATCTATGGGATATCTATAATTTCTTTGGTAAAATTATATATAAAATACTCGCGCAATATTTACGCGTTAATAGTAACATGTAATCCTTTTAAAAAAAATTTCCTTCTCTGAAGGGATTAATTCCCGCTGGTCCATCGACTTTCCGCAAGCGCGCGTTGAATCTGCTGCGTTGAAATATCGTTGTCCAGCTGCACGGAGATATTTCGAAGATATGCACTCTATCTCTCATCTCAGCAAATAGCTCACGAATGAAGTTCTCTATATTCCGTTTCTGCTCTCGCGTGTCTTTACCTCTCCTCTCTTCTCTTCGTGATATTTCCTCTTTCCTTTCGTCGTCGTCGTCGTCGTCGTCGTCAGGCTGGACTCGACGACAGATTTATAAACGATGTACCTACGAGTACGGAGCGGTACGGATCTATGTACTCAATAAGTCTTGCGAGATTCGAACGACAACGGCGAGACGATGCGAGGACCGTCGTCAGCATGTTGAATCTTAGGCCGCGTTTCGCGCCGCAACGAAACGGAATTTATGATGCAAGAAATTTATCAACCGGCAACCCACAAGAAAACCCGTTCCCCGATATTTATGGTTTCTTTATTAATATTGAAAATAAGTTAATGGCGTTTCGACACCTGATGCGCATTGGGCGCGCGTCCTTCTATGCTACAGAACGAAAATGCGCTTTCTTCTATTATTTATACTTGTAATTACGATTCCGTATAGACGTACTATCAGATTCATTAATTGCAATTACGATTATTTACGAGATCCTTTTTGTAGCTAATCAATTCCTTTTTCTCTTTCTGTTGCAGCTGTGGTTGTGCGGTACTTGACGAGGCGATACATCGGCGAGTACAGCTCGACCAGTGGTAAGTGTTTCTTCATTATCCCTTTTTTCTCCTCAAGATAATTGCCAATTGCGAAGCATGAATGATTGCGGCCATTCGTTGCTAATTTCGAGGCGTCATATTCTGGATAAATGTCCAGTTCATATCTAACTAAGTTCCTTTTCTCGCTTGCTATCGACTTATCTCCCGGGAGGCGGCTCCGACTCGAGCGCTCGCGCGCGCGCGAAATGCTCACCCCGTGATACAGAACGCGAATCTAAATCTTGATCGGTGCCCCTCGCGTGCTCCGACGGGGTACCGCGACGGAAAAATCCACCGTGAAATATTCTCGCGCTCGAAACCGGACTCTAATTCAAGGGTACCGGTGAAAAATCTTAATCATGGCGCCTCGCGAGCGATGTCCCGAGGGCGGATTCTAGCGGTCACAGAAATACACGTGATAAGAGGGTAGGGCAGCAGCGGGGTTTAGAGGGAGAGAGATAGAGAGAAGGAGAAAGAAAGAGAGAGAGAGAGACGCAACAGACACCTGGACCCGTGGAGGGCGGAGATTTAAACACTCGATATGAAATAGAGCCTATGGGGAGGGTCCGCAGAATGCAGATCTCTCCCATAACTCATGCAGGCTACTTCGCCGTAATAATTGCCGTGCACGCCCGCGGACGTATAAGCTACGACGGCGAGTTTCGCGGATATCCGAGCCGCCTGGAAAAATTCCATCGTGAAGTATTGTCCCCTTAACCCTGAACCGGCCGGCCGCTCGTATTTTTGTAACACCTCTACGGCCGAGTCGGCTGTACATCCTCGCCACGGCGAGTACCACGCCGTTTTATCACGATCGCAGATAGTTACAGGGATATTATCGCGACGATAATCGATGCGCTTGAAGCAAAATAATTATGTAAAATATGTAAATTTATTTGATTAGGATAGATTATAGATAATTAGATAAAACTGATTGAATGGGATTTCATCTGCATTCAGGACGACGTTTCCTTTTTGAAAAAGGATTTAATTCTATGTATTGACATAAAACAGGGGTGAAAATCATTATATTAACTATTTCAGTCCTTATACATTTTTTTTTAAATGCTTTTCACAGATGTTAATGATTTATGTTAATTAGTATATATATATTTTTTTCTTTTAAACTAAATTAGTTGATTAAAAACTTAGTAATCTAAATAAATATAGTAATCTAAATTAAACTCGGGAAAATGTTTGTGCAATTTCTCGAGCAGCTTGTACGAAAAAAAAACAAATATAAAGCTTCTTGGATAGAAGATTTACAAGAAGAAGACTTATAAGTCAATTTGCACGAAGTTTCTCTTTACTTTCTTTGCAACCGCATCCACGTAATGTAATGTGCGGAAAGCTTTCCCGCACAATAGCGCAATCATCGATTTATCGAATTTCTCTCGTGTATAACTGGCACTCGGAATCAATCTTGATTCCTATCAATCTATAATGCCGCGATCGATAATGCCGGACGAGTGTAGAAGGGTGCCGCCACGATTGCTCTCTCTCCTACTATCGGTATTAATTAATTTCCTGGGAAAATGATGGATAATCGTTCTTGAATGTAACCAGGAAGCGGATAATCTTATGTGTTCCTCCTCAATCGAGGAGGGGGATAATCGCTCAATCGATCCTCGATGATGACGCCATGAATGTTACAAACTGATCGTCGTCCATCTAGGATCGATAAAAAATGATAAGAATAATGACG